AAGTAAATATCGAATCCATGAGAATTAATTCTTCTGGTGGACATGATATAACTCTAGAGTTAAATATTTAACCACTGGACCAATTATATATATATATTTTCAAAAGGGTTACCAAGAACGAAGATAAGATCGAATTCTAAATCATTTTTTTTTTTTTATGGGAAGTCTTGGCCCAAGAAAAGAAGATGGTGCCCACAAGAAATTAGCTTAGCTTGATGCTCTCAGAGTTTTTAATATTCAATTAAAAAAATGCAAGCTCAAACAGAATTTCTTGTGTTGGGATCCAAATGTGCAAAAACCAATAAAGGAGAAGTTTTTTTTTTTTGGAGCATGGCCACGCCATAACTGAGTTCCTTTTCCTTTTTAATTTTTATATTAATCAGTCTAGAACGCTTTTGTTACACTGTGTTGTTTAGAGCAGGAACAAGATGCGCTCAATGGGCCTGAACAGTTTGGTTAGAATGCCCTTAGAGCAGTAGATAGGAGCTCGATCACATCTTTTTAAGCTAGCTTGCATGTTATGTGTCTTTTTTATCGTATTAAAGGCATGCATAAAGAGAGTGAATGATAAATGTTAGCCATGATTGTCAAATTTCTGGCCAATAAAGTTGTGTGAAGTTTGTCGAAATTTCAATTTAGATCAAAAGCCATGCATAATTGATGGGGAACTCTATCAATGATGTTCGGCCTTGAATGCATTGTGCTGGAAAAAAAAGGAGGAAAATAATAAAAAGAAAGAACTGGGCTAAATTTATTCGATAGGGTGTCAAGGGTAAGTGCCGATATCTAAAATTCTGCCTCGTCAAATCTCTGAAATTATAGCAATAGGTTTGCTTCAAGTCAAACTACAAACCAGTGCTCCATCTATGATAGCTGTTTGATCAAATCAATCTTGGAACTATGAATTCTTAAAATCATATCTTCTTACTGACTAGCACTCTCCTGGCAATTAAATGCATCAGTTCCATTCTATCAAGAGAAAAACTACGATGAAAAAGAAGAAGAAACGGAAGAAGAACTAACAGAATTTGTTGATTTTCAGCCCCTCTAAGTGTGATTTACCACACCCAATAACCTTGTTATGCACTCATGCTATTCATCAGTCAATTTAATATTTGAATGCCTGGCTTCTTTTACCTTGTTGACATAATAATCTTCATTGCAAGATAGAGTTTCAAGGACTCTTTCTGGGTTGATATAAAAAAGGACCTTTTTAGGAAGAAAATGGGTAGCTTTTTATATCATGTTAGCTTCTACTATTTAAAACATTTTGAAAATATTTTTTATCTCAAAAAGTATAAATTAATGATTTTTTAAAATATTTTTAAATTTTTTTTGATATGTTGATGTCAAAATAAATAAAAAATAAAAAATTGTAATTTTAATATATTTTTATTTGAATTTTTTTTTTAAAAAATCATTATATATATATATATTATGTTAACGAACACGCTAGTACAAACCAAAATAATTTTGAGCCATTAGATTTTTGTGCGTGGTTACCCCCCCCCCCCCCTTCTTTTTATTTTTGTTGTCAGAAATTTATTTAACCTGATTTAATTTTCATAGCAATGGCACTATGGACATGATAACATTACACTTATTTAATCTCTAATATTCAATGTTGTTAGAGATTCGAAAATCATTCAAAATACAGCAGCAAATGAGCACAGCAGGCATCTAATTGACAAAATGAATGAGAAGATTAAACTAGATCCTAAAAAAATAAAAAATAAAAAATAAAAATTGTAACTTGCTATGAGATGACTTGAATTCGGACGCTTCAGCTTTCGAAGTCAAGAGCTTGAGTTCTTTTGTCATGATCAAGAACGTCAATGGCAAATAAATTCACATTTTCTTAGCAATAGATCAATTGGAGGTAGGGAGCGTCTGGCCAATTTCACGAGACTTCTTGCTTGAAAGAAAGATATACGATCACTCCATCATAAATAGCGACCATGAACTCTATTCCCATCTTTATCATCGATCATTAATCTTAAAAAAAAACAACTACAAATACAGTTTTTGATATAATCAAACTTGTAGAAACAAAAAGTTATGAATATTCGAGTGAGAATATAATGCAATTAAATGAGAATTTTATTCAATCAGACTATATAAATGGTTTAATATATATTTTTTTGAACTAGTTAAACAAATTTAAACTCAAAAGAAGGTTTGAAAGTACAATACTAGATTGATACCTTAAAATTACAATAATAAAAGTTACAGTCGTTGGAGAAAACTCGATTTTTTTCAGATGATTCTATAAGCAATATTTCTATGTTTCTTTGTCAGATTATTGAATTTTTTGGAATTGAGTTTTGAGCTCTAATGCTACTATTTGGGCTAATTTTATTATTTTTTCTTTCTAATTTTTTACTTTTATATTTTAATTTAGACTTCTGTTTTGTTTTCTTTATACTTTTAGATTTATAGTTAATTCCTAATATATAGTGGTTTTTTGGTCTATTTAAATGTCATATAAATCTGTTTGAGAAGACATTCATTATATATTTTACTTTCAAGTATTAGAATTTTAAATTTAGAGTTTATACTTCCAACCCCTTTTACTAATTAAATTGTCTGTGTTTTTATTTAACTTTTTTTTCCCATTAAATTATCTGTATTTTCCCGTGTTTCTTTTTGCTGTCATATTAGCTTTTTTTATATAACTTCACATGGTAGAACAATAAATAAAACATTTAATTTCATGCCATTTGGCATGCTCTTTACAAGTAGAAATTTCAAGTTCGCCTCTTGCCTTTTTTTTTTTTTGTAGGAAACAATTACGGTATTAAGGCCAACTTCAGCAAATATTAAAATCACTTTTTGATCGATTTTAGATAGGCAATTCATATCGAATTCAGATTTCTTGAGAAATTCCTTCTTCCTCCTCTTGAATTTGAACCTAAAATAACAGTCTTGGAACTTGAAAACCTCATGTTGCTTTGCTTGTGTAATTTATTTTACTGCTGCACCTCTGCAGACCACCACAAAAAAGGACAAGAAACACCCAATGTGAAAGGCCACAGCACACCTCCAAGTCTTGGTTACATAAACTGAAAAGTCAATTTCAACTACCAAAACAACCATTTCTCCCATTTATATAACACCAAGAGTTAAAAAGCAGACAAAGCTATCCAAATTCCAAAGCTTTCTGTCTTCTCTCTCTAACCCCAGTCACCTCCTGTAAGGAACAGATAGCCCACATGCCCCCTCCCTCTCTCATAGCCTCGCTTTCCTGAAGCCTTGAAATACCAAAGCCTCTAAGCAGTCCACCAAGGTTCATCAAGTTTTGAATTTTGAATTCTTTTTTTGTTTTTGGTTTTTGAGTTAAAAAGCCTGAAGTAGCGCCTTACCTTTTGTTAACACACGATCAGGCATCAATTTCTCTCTCTGTCTCTCTCCCATGAGCAAAGTAATGATAATGAAAGTGAAGTTCACGAGCTAAAGAATTGAACTTGAAAGAAAGGAAATAAACAAAATGGTTGCACATGATGGTGGCTATAATGTTTGGCCACCAGCAGAAGCTCCATTGTTGAATGTGCAAATAGAGGATCAACACTGGAGACATTTTGACAATTCAGTTAATGCTGTGTCTTTTGGATTTGTAGCTACTGCCATTCTCATTTCAATGTTCTTGGTTATGGCCATCTTTGAAAGGTTTCTTAGACCCACTTCAGGTACAGGTGGCCAAGGTGATCTCGAGTCTCAAATGGGGTTCAATTCCAAGCTTGGACACCCTTCACCGAAAGTAAGTGATACCCTTTTGTCCTTTATGCTTGCATTTAATGTTTTTGTTTAAGAATTACTTGTTTGATTGGATAACGTGTGGTTTTCTCTAGCTTTCTCAAGGGTAAAAGGTTTCAAATGTTTCATTTTGCAATTTTTTCAAGGGAAATTCTGTTGCTTGCTTTCTTTCTTTTCTTCTTTTGTTTTAGACAGTTTGGATGGTTATTTTGATTTTTGGAAATAGTGATGATTGTTGGTCTGACATAAGGTTCTGCTGCCTAAGTGGTTTCCTTTCATAATTATAGGTTTTTTTTTTCTTGTTTTCGGTTGATTCGTAATTATGCCTGTTAGAGATGGATTTATTGCATTCTGGAGAGTTTTTAGCTTGGTTATTTTTTCTTCTTGGAAGCATAACAAAGGAATCTGAACATTAGTTAAGCTTCTAGCCATGTTTACTAACTCCTCATGTTTTTCTCTTCTAATTCCCATCTGAGTTTCGCTACTTGGCTATATTTCTTCTTACGAATTCCATCACCAGAAGTCCTCCTCGTAAGTTATGACAGAGATCTATAATTACATTAGCCATGTAGTCATGTTAAAGTAATCCTGATTACACCTGTGACCCTTTTCTTCCTCTCCCAGGACTGGCCATAGCTTGAATGAATTACATTAACCATGTAGTCATGTTAAAGTAATCTGATTACACCTGTGACCCTTCTCTTCCTCTCCCAGGACTGGCCATAGCTTGAATGAATTACATCAGCCATGCAGCCATGCATCGTATAATGTTTGCATCTTATAGCAAGTTGTAGTAGCTGTCCTTGAATGAATTACTACCTTGATGTCTGAACAGATTTAAGATAGGTTTTGGTTTTACAACGAAAGTGATTAGAGTTTGATCCAACTACAATATTTACTAGCTCTGTAAGGATGCGCTTTGCAGAGGTCATAAAACTGAAGCTGAAAAAATTCATTTTTTTCTTCATCTGCATTTTCATTCTTTCGTCAAAATTCATCATTTAGGAACTGTCCTGTCCCCTAATTATGATTTATGGGGCAATTGCCCATCCAAGAAGTTGTCTATTGAATGAATGGCTGGTCCCAAACCAATGAGTTGCTGGAGGGGAGATGTACTTCTTGTTGTTTAGACCCACCATTGTACATTAGTACATGTTGGTTATCAACCTCAATAGAAATAACCTTTGTACTGTCCGGTGCTTATGGTCGGAGACAGGTTTTCTGGGGACACGGCCTTAGTTTAATCATCTTCTTATGAATTCCCAAATCCATCTGTGTCCTACTAGCTTTCTAAGGTCACAAAGTGTCTTAACAGCTTTAAATACCGTAGTTATGTGCATTTATGAAGGGAGATAAACTACCTGAGTTCAGGTTTAAGATTTTTTCTGCAGTATCCAATGATGTCTATGCTTGATGCATCACATTTGTGGTCTACCATGTGCCATAACTTTAAAGAAACACACAAGACCCACTTGCATAGCCAACCTTGTTGTTCAATCTTAGGCCTTATGTGGGGCATGGACTAAAAAAAAGTGGTTTCAACTTTATGAAGTGATTAAAATGCTAGCAATCCATTGATTGTAAAACTATGCATTTTTTAAATCGTTATCTCTAATTATATGAAAATCCTAATCAGTTAATCACTTTGATTATTGTCAGTTTGTAAGAGTGCTCATGGGAGCTTTTCTTTGATAAGTCTAAGTCAGTTTACTTATTGTGACGTAGTGCTTGAGGGCCCATATTTACACTTCATATCGACTTAGACAGGTTGGTCTTTAAAGTATTTTCGGATTATCAGTTGGGAGACAGTGCATTTCTTTTCAGGGTCCAGGGTTAGAAGCTAACAGTTAGTCTTGTTTTGTGGGCCGACGATCCTCAATAAACTCAATTAGCTCCACATCCTCATACAGGATCTTTGAGTTGATGTGATATGCAGACTGCAGTAGGGCCAGTAGAGCATGATGCATGTATTCCAAGGTGTTTTGAAATCCAGAAAATATGTGATTTAGAGCTCAAGTTTGTATCTTCTAGATTAGCAATGGACAGGTTGCATTAGTTAGAGACCTTAATCAAACAAACCAGTTGCTTGAGAAATTAATTGCATTTCTTCACTGAGAAACAAGTCCCCATGCGTAGGTTTGCCACTTGGTAACAAAACACAGCTGTTGTGTGGATAAAAGCCATAAATACCTTGCATCTGTTAGCATTACTGTATTGTAGACCATCCTCCTGTAAAATTGTTTGTCCCCCAGCATGCTCAAATTATAGGGACTCATCTTATAAAAAAGGGGCAAAAGTCAAATGCACATGTTAGTTGTTGGGATAATGTTGTTAGCTGTTACCTTATCCAATAAAATATGGACACGAACAATAAAATGGAAGAGTAAGCAGTAATAAAGCACTAGCATGTGCTTGGATTTTCTGAGCGTTTAATTTGTTTGTGTCATGTTTTGCCTGTCTTGTTATTTTTATTTTTGCTTCAACCCCCCAAAACTGTATGATCCTAAGTGATTCTGTTTCGTTTAATGCTTTGTTGCAAAGTTACAAAATAAGTAATGAGGTTCCTGAACCACCAAATTGGGGATGTAACCTGTCTGCATTGCATGCATGGAAACTATGCTTGATGTTAACAGACAAACAGTGCTAGCATGTGGAATTTTGTCAACTTGTTCCTTCCTCTGGATGTCTGGTGGTTTGAGCATGTTAAGTCTCTGAGGCCTTAATCAGTGAACACTGTTCTCACAGTTAATTTCTTTGTTGACTCTGCTGTTTGCCTAGAAATAGGACACTATGCTCAAATTTGTTTACTGATGAACTAGCTCTATTTGTTCTCAACTTTGATTAGAGACGTTGTTATAGCTGCATCGTATTTTCACTATCTAGCGTCTGTCTTGCGATGCACTTACAACAATTACTGTGGATTCATCTTGTTCACTGGACTGCAGAGTCCTTTTCAAACCCCAGGTTGTTCGTCTTGTGCTAGTTTTGATGAGATTGACTGAATTTGACATCCATTCCTTTTGAATTTGGACAGATGACTGTATATACATATGGAGTTTCTGTGTTGATGCCTGGAGACAATATTCCTACCTTCATAGCACATCCAGCACCGGTGCCCTGTCCTCCCGAACGAATTTCCTACCTTCACGATCAACAACATATCAATTCATTTCCAAATCCCACTGCGAACCCTGACACAAACTCAAGCTCAAGTTCGATATCATCTCAACAAAACTAGACGTGAAATGCATATTTAATACCGGAAACAAATAATCACAAACTTGAGCAAACGTTTGATGGCACACAGACAATGGAGCATTTCGTTCTGGAGTAGAGGTCGCATGCCCTTTGTGTCGCGTGTGTATATATAATTAGTTTTTAAACGAGTTCAGTGGCTTCGGCATACACGCATTTTTGAATCAGCAGAAAAGTTTCCATCGATCCCCAGATTCACCTTGCTTTGTATTTGCACCATTTCTATGTCAGTTTTCTCGGTAGGATTGGACTTGAAGATGGATTGTTTCTACTTTCTCCTGTCAAATGGATCGTTCCACTTGTAAAAAAAACTTCAAGGAATGTAATTAGTCTTGAGTATGGAAAGAAGTTGCAAGGCCTTGGTTACATATGTTAAGGATTCAAATTCTAAGAATTATGATTTTGTCACTACCATAGTTATCAGACTGATTCTTGCAAACTAGTTGTTCAGGTCAACCTCAGTCTATTAAAAAACAATGTTCTTGCAGGGTTTTTTTTCCTTCTAATTTTAGATAAAAACTAGTAAAAAAATCCTTAAAATTCATCTAGTCAGTCTCTCTGAGACATGATATTGGGGCTCATCGATCAGGGTCATGTTAAATTCCAAGCAAATAGATCACTAGATTGGCCCAGCGGGCCAGTTGTGTTTAATGATTATGGCTTCTTCCTTCTTGATCATGTCAAATAACAATGGAATATTGGAATCGACATGGTACGATGTAGGGGGCACGTATCTTGCCAGATAAATAGAGAAAAAGTTGTGTTCATAGCACAGGCGTGACCTTTCTCCTACTTCATGGATATTCTGGTGATAAGAACCCATTCTTCCACTCTTGACACCGTAGCTGAATACCTTTTTCCTCCCAGGGTTTTGTCCACATTCTCCACATTCTTGCAACCTATGAAATAGGTTAGCACAGCTAGATTTAATTTTGAATGAATCAATGGAGAAAAAGAAGAAGAAAAGGCATAGTCCCCCTCAAATCCCGAACCCCACCACTAATTTCACAATAATTGAATGGAAGAGTAATATTGTTGAGGAACACAAGTTTAATGTATTGTATTTTGTGGTGGAGGGTGTTTTTTAAAAATATTTTATTAAATATATATAAAATAATGGCTTTTATGTGTTAGTATATTCAAAAAAATATAAGAAATTATCGATTTAAAATTATTTAAAATAAAAAATAATTCAAAAACCACTTTAAAAAAACATAAATAAACACAACGTTAGGGCTCGTTTTAGACCCCACCACACTAGGGTTCTTTCCTCTGGAGACTCAAAGTAACACAAACCGAAGAACAAGCCCATCAAAATTAATCCTCGTTTGAAGGGCTTTTAGCTTAAGGGTTTGTCTCCTCACTTCAAAGGTCAACGAACAATGAAAAACGCATTAGTAAAAGCGATTTCAATGCATTATTATTACATTGGTGTTAGCTTGATCCAAAACCACTCATAATGTTTCGTGTGGATTGATTTTTGAATATATTTTTCTTATTATAATTATTATTATTAATTCTTTCTTTTCTTTTTTAATTCAATGATAAGAAATATTATCAGTTACGTATCCAAAAAACTAAATTTTTGTTAATGGCTTTATAGATATATTCCATATCAATTAATGCATTTATATAAATTTAATAAAATAAAAATCTAAATCTATAAAATTAAAAAGATATACAACATGTTTATTAACTACAAGTAGAATCTTTGACATTTTTTACGTGAAGGAAAGTGTTTTGTCATGCTTTTAAAAGGAGGGATGATAATTTATTACGAATAAAATTGATTTAACTTGAATGAGCTAGTTTTTAGTAGGATAGTTATTTTCTTTGATAAATAATGAATAAAATATAAATATTATTAAACCTGATCTGAAAATTTACCCAAATCTAACTAACCTCTCTCTCTCTATATATATATATAAAAGAAAGTATGTTCAAGCACTATCGTGAGCTTATAAAATAAATATATTTGATAATATTATAATTATAAGCCAGCGCTAAATAAGTAATAAAAACTAAAGGTACGATGGAGCTGGTATTTCATGACTGAAAAAAATTATGTTGGTGATAAAAAACATAGAGATTAAATAAAATGATTTGTAGCAGTAATTCATAGTGTTTTGTGAGGAAAGATAGAGTATTTTCGCCATATGATTTAGCTTTTCTGTTAATAAAAAAATAAAATTACAAAGTTAAATTCTTTACCAACTTAATATTAAAAAAAAAACAACAAAGAAAATTTTGGAATGAAAAAAATCCATGAGGAAAAATGTTATAGCAATTGACAATGTTTTGTGAGAAAAGTTACAATGTTTTCCTCATATGGTTTAGCTTTATTATAATTATAATTTTTAATCAACTCAATATTAAAAAAAAAATCAACAAAGATAATCTTGAAAAAAATTACATGGGAAAACACTACAACAATTCACAGTGTTTTAAAGAAAAAAATTACAAAGTTAAATTCTCAAAAAGCTCAATATTAAAAAAATAAAAAAAATAAAGACAATTTTAGAAAAAAAAACTCAAAACAAAAAAGAAAAGAAAAACCATGTTGGAAACACTGTAGCAATTAACATTGTTTTGCAATGAAAACTACAGTGCTTCCCACATGATTTAGCCTTACTTGTAATTGTAATTCTCAATCAACTTAATATTAAAAAAATAAAATTAACAAAGATAATTTTAAAAAAATCATGGTGAGAGATACTGTAGCAATTCACAGTGTTTTGTAAGCAAAACTACAATGTTTTCCCTACTTGATTAAGCTTTATTATAAAATTAAATTCTAACCAACTCAATATTAAAAAAATAAATCGACAAGGATAATTTAAAAAAATATTACAAAAAAACACAAAAGAAACTAGAAAAAATCATGTGAAAAAAAACAATATGGCAATTCACAGTAACTAGTGAGAAAAGTTATAATATTTTCTCACATATTGTAACTGTAATTTTTAACCAGTTCAATATTAAAAAATAAAATTGAAAAAGATAATATCAAAGAAAATCATCAAAAAAACAAAAAAAAAATTGGAGAAACATTGTAGCAATAAACAATATTTTAAAGAAAAAAATTACAAAACTAAATTCTCAACTAGGTCAATATTAAAAAAATAAAATCAACAAATATAATTTTAAAAAATAAATAAAATAAAATAAAAAAATCATGTAGAAAAATACCGTAGAAATCCACAGTATTTAAAAAGAAAAAATTACAAAGCGAAATTTTTAACCAATTCAATATTAAAAAAATAAAATTAACAAAGATATTTAAAAAAAATAAATGAAAAAAGGAAAAATTTGAAAAAAAAAAAAAGGAAAGCAATTTTGGGTAAAAAAATAAAAAAAAAGAAGAAAATATGGGAAAGTTGGAAAAAAAAAGGAAAAAGTAAAAAAATGAAAAAAACAAAAAAATATTTATAAAAAAAGAATGCATTGTGATTATTATTGTAATTCATAGTGTATTAGGTGCAAATAAACATGTACCCTTTAACATATTACTTAATATGTAAAATATTTATATTTTTAAAAATTCAATACAAAATATATGTATCTCAATATTAAAACAAGACACACACATATATACACAATATTTATCATTTAATACATATTTGAAACATATATTTATTATTGTTTTATTTTATTACTGAATATTAAATCATAGTTAAATAATAAATATTATCCAAATCTAATAAATAAAATTTAAATTTTTAAATTTTTTATCTGATAAAAAAATAAATATCTATATCAATACAGAGAAACCATTACCTATTCGTGTTAGCATCCCTGCTTAAAAACGTTTGAAAGCAAATAACGGAAACATTTGCCCGCTTTCTACGGAATAACTCCACGAACGGCTTGATATTAAAGACTGGGACCACTCATGTAATGCTGTCCTCATTCTCGATCATCGAACGGCTACAAAATGAAGGGTTTTCCCACCCCAAAATTTCAATTTCTCACGCAAGACAATTCCATGTCTGACTTTTCTTTTCAAACTGCTGTTTGTTCCCACTTCCTCTAAAAGCGTACAAATTTTCAATTTCTCACGTAAGGTAATTTTTTTATTTTTTTTAATTTGTTAATGTTAAAAATGAATTTTAAAAAATAAAAAATATTATTTTAATATTGTATAATAAAAAATACTTTTAAAAACAATTATTAACCGAATCAATGGCAACAACTATGCATGTAGATATATAATTTTTATAAGCGCAAATCTTCCTATTTTTATGAAACTTGGGTGCTAAATGGCATACGATCAATCACTGAAAAAGCTATCTGTTTGAAATAACTTATTGAATCCATGAAAGTTAAAAAAAAGAAAAAAAACATAGATTAAATTTGAGCTTTTTTACTAAATAAATTTATTTTATTTGAATATATTAGTGGATAATTTCAAACAATTAGCTTTTTGAGTAATTGATCACATGCCATTCAGTTCAGTTTTAGGAAGTGTACCAAAACTTGTTAGCGAATGGAGTCTCGCTTGAATTTTCTACCTGGGCGTTGTTGTTGGTATATGCATGAACAAGCAGATGCCGAGAGACAAGAGGAGTCATCATTTCTTCCTTTAAATGAATCCTTCTTCTTCTTTTTCGTGAAAATAAAGAAAATAGAGTAACATTATTTTTGTGTTTGAAATTACATTTTAAAAGTATGTTTAATTTTAAAAAACATCAAATTAATATTTATTTATTTTTCTTGTCAACCATCTTTTACTTCAGATGATGTTTATGTCATTTTTTAAGAAGGTTTTGAGTTTTAACCTTCCCCTCACGAAAAAGAAGAAAACAAAAAACTTTGAACAATGATTTTTACAAGAGATGAAATTATGTGGTTCAAGTTGGGTAAATTACTCCAATTGTTGGCAATATTTAGAGCTTCGTTGCGAGTGAAATGAGTTCCTCCAAGAAATTAAATTGAAATTGAAATTGAAATCCTCTTCTCATTTGATTCCCTCTGTCAAGGAACAAAAAGTGAGCCAGGCATGGGACACAGAATATCCAAGATAACAACAGACATGTCAAGTGTTTTTTTCCCAGAAAGTTCATTTCCTCGATTAAAGTAAAAGGGCCCAATTGTTTTCTAAAAGCAAGTATGAACACAAGAAGCAGAGAGCAGTTGTGTTCGGCAATGAACAAACAAGCGATGCATGTGCTTTTACTTTGTTTTTTTAACCTCCTCCACATCAAAACAAAGGGGAAAATCAGAGGCTCTGGAGGGCAAATCTTTGCGTCACTGGTGCAGCAGAAGACCACCAATCTTATGGGCAGAGAACTTGGCAAATAAGGCAAGAAAAATGAAGGGAATCAATGGTCATTTAATGGCATTGCACATCCAAGTAGCCTTAACACAATCTCCCCTCGTGACTAGATATATATATTCACATAACAAAAAGATAACTAAAAGCAACCCGGAAAAACTAAAAAGGCCAGTGAAGTGAACCTAGTGGCGGCTATTATCACCGTGAAACATAACTCCGGCGATCACGGTGGAATATTCCTCGTTCAAAGAAAGATAAAACATTCGAGAGACACAAGTGGGTTTTCTAGCGACTCGTCATTTGTAGTCCCATTAGCAACATCACTACTACTTGGCCACTTGGCCTCCATGCCATTTTCCATGCTACCATTACCAACAACCTCATACGCATCCTTCCTGACCCGACCTGGGGATTGATTTGTCCTTCTTGTGGACGGGCTTCGACCCATTACAGATCTATTAGTGGCAGGGGACCTGGACCTTCTCGCTGACCCTTCACCCGGGTCTCTCTTTTTTGGGTCTGGTCTCGAGCCCCTCCTAACTCCCGCTTGACCTGAACTAATTTCCCTGCTTTGAACCAACCTAACTGATCCTCCATTGATTGCACCGTTTCTCTTGCTTGGTGACTGTTCGGTTGTTCTCCGGGTGGGTGACTTGCCCACGACCCGGTCTTTTCTCGGACCCAACTCACCTGAAACCCGGTTTCTTGGTGGCAGTGGAGATCTTGACACTCTTTGCTTCACTTCATCATCATCATCATCATAATAATAATCCCGTTTGTCATTGTTGTTTGTTGTTGTTGTTGTCGAAATGCTTTCACTATAGCTCAAGCTGCAAACTTCAGATTCATCTTGTTCGGAGATCTGACCTTGATGATGAACTTCTTCTTTTGATATTTTCTTGAACCTGTTTTCCTGAATCTTGATCTCATCAAGAAATGCTGGGTCAAAGTGGATACTTTCCTTCTTGTGGACTTCTTGATGCCGTGGGCCATTTTCTAGATGGGGATTCTTTATGGGATTTTTTGGTGGTTTGGGTTTGGGAGTCTCAGAGAGGACTTCTTTTACTGTTTCTTCTTGGTAAAGTGAAGGAGGTGGTGACTTAGTTGGCTTCAAAGATTCAGATCCTACTTGAAAATGTTGCTGTTTTTTAAGCTTTGAAGGTTCATTGTTGTCGGTGCTAACACAACACCCCATTATAGATAAATTCAAGAAATGATAGAAAGATTCACATGCTGTTGCTGGGATTAGCTCAAGAATTGGTCAATGGTGAGCTTTGGCTTTCTAGAGGGAAAAAAACACAAGCTGGAACCTGGAGTCCAGTGAGATGGTTTTGAACAAGAGACAGAGGCAAACAAGTGGAGAGCTTGAAGGAGGAGTGTGAACATGTGTATAAGTCCCCTACATCATGGACCACGAGGATGTAGCATGGTCAATGCAGTCTATAATTATTTATTTGGAGATCCTTTGAACAGTTGCCACTTTTTTTTTTTTTTTTTTTGCCACTTTTGTTTGGTCTAGTCATGATCTCTTGTTCTTGGAGAAGTATGAGACAGTCCCCCAACTTATACAGTGACTGAAAATTAGTCCTCAAACCATTATGAAAGACTTTATGATGACACGGAAGACTATTCTTTAAATCTTCTATTGATTGAAATTTATATAACTCTGTATTAAAAATTAATATAAATTATGTCTAATGAATTCATTTAATAATTTATTTTTTTTATTAAATTAATTATTTAACATAATATTTAATAACTAAATAATTATGAATTTGATTCTCACCCTTCTTGTTCCTTTTTTTTTTATTATTAAAGTTACTTCAAGAATTTTCTTATCTTTCGTGGAAGCACGTAAAACATGCTTTGCATTTAGGGTGCCAAATAGTATTGTTTTCGGGTTATTTGTACTGCTCTCTAAGTGAGTTTCTTTACCAAAATAAAGGAGTACAAAATCCATTTTCTCTAAACAGGATTTTTTTTTGGACGAGGATTAAATTTATTTACCATAAATAAAGCATCTTACTCCACATTAACATCAAATAGCATGACATGAAAATTAACATATACTAAGAAGAAAGGTTTTGACATTTAACTACATCAATAAATAATGAAATGCTTTGGCACTTTATAATTTGATCCTCAATAATTGTTTTTTAAAGTCTCATTATTTATCATTAGATATAATAGGTATTAAAGCTTGGAACTTTTTTTAATTTATTTTTTATATAGTTATTTCAGTTTTGTAACCTAAATTTAATAAATTAATTTAGATTATCTTGAATCATTTTTTTAATTGATTAATTGAAAATTTGATTTTATATTTTTTATATTTATGTTTTATAATATTATCACGATCTTATAACTCAAGTCATGAGATTTTCGGGTTAGTCATATTAGCTCATTTTTTATGTTTTTTTAATTAATTTTTTTTAAAAATTTTATACTTCAACTAGATTATTAATCGGTGCTTTGTTCCGAGTCAAGTTAAAATTTTCTTAAATTTGTAAAAAAATGTTCAAATTGCATATTTTTTTCCGAGCATAAAAAAAATTAAATCATATGAGGGTTGACCTCATGTAACCCGGTTGACTTTATAGGTCTAAAAACAATATATACAACTCAAAAAAACATAATTTAACTAAAAATATTTCAAGATAACACCTTTTTTAATATTAAAAAAATAACATATTGAATTAACTTGAGTCAACATAGTTTAACATGTCAAATTTACGACCTGAGTTATGAGACTATAATAACCTCATGAAAAACAAATTAAAATAAATCATGAAGTCAAATTCACTATAGATCTAATATTGATGGATAAAATTAAAAAAAATTAAAATAAAACCTAAAAAAGTTATCAGAGTTAACATGTCATATTTGTGATCTAAGTTATAAAATTAAGATAACCTCATACAAAAAAAATAGAAATAAATTATGATTTTCAATCCTCAATCATCCCAAAATTAAAGGATGTGATTAAAAAATTAATTAAAAAACATAAAAAAATTAAATTAACCCGTCAAACCTATGACTCGAGTTATCAGACCAAAATAACCTTATAAAAAATTAAAAAAAAAATTATATGATCCCGGGTTAACCTTTTAAATTTATGACTTTTGTTATAAGATTGAATTAATCTTATATAAAGTAAATCAAACAAATTATGAAGCTAAATTTTGAATCGCTTTTATTGCACCTATTATTGAACAATGAAATTTATAAAATTATAATTAAAAATGACATAAAAAAATGAGTAAATTCAACTAAAATTAACATGATAAATATTGTTATTGCGTTATATGGTTGAAATAACCTAATAAAAAATAAATAAAAATAAATTATGAAATCTAATTTTCAATTAAACACGATATAAAATAATAGAATTTTAAAAAATAAATAAATTAACTAAAATAACTAAATTAATTAGGTGAACTCGCCAAAACTGCAACTTAAGTCATAAGACGTAAACAACTTAATAAAAAGTAAATCCAACATTGAAGGACCTATGACCTAAGTTATAAGATCAAGATATTTTTTTTAAAAAAAAGAAATGATCTAATTGAACTAGAGTTAAAATGTCAAAACTTGCAACTTTGATCATGAGACCAAAATATTATCATAAAAAGTAAAAAGAAAAAATATATGAAACTCAATTTTTAATTAGTCTAGTGTTAAATGATAAAATAAAAAATAAAATAAAAAATAACTCGAATATATATAGGTTAACCTACAAGTATTGTTCTTGGGTCATGAGGTTTAAACAACATAATAAATAAATAAATAAACTAAATCATAAAATATAATTCTTAATCAATCCAATATTAAATTATAATTTTTTTAAAAAAAATTTAATTAAAATAAAACCCTGAGTAAATTGACTTAACTGGCCAAATCGAATCAACTAGGTTAATCTACTAAACCGAGTTAATCCATCAAACCTATAATATGTGTCATGAAAGTATGACAACTCAATAAAAAATAAATTTAATATTAAAAAATAAAATTAAAAAAATTAAAAATAAAATAAAATAAAAATAATATAAATCACTATTTAAATAAATTGTTATCAATAAATAGTAGTTTATAGTTAGTTAATTATGTTTGTTTTTTATTTTTGAGGCATAGCACTCAAATATAGTATTGCCAGCCATAGAAGAGCTTGGAGCTAATGGGGTGTTTATTGCAGTGATAGTAATTATTTTTTTAGAATATTTTGTATTTGAAAATGTTTTAAAATTATATTATTTATTTATTTTTTAAAATTTATTTTTAATATCAAGAATCTAAAAATACAAAAAAATTATTTTAAAACAAAAAAAACAAAAAACAATATTTTATAAAACAGACACCTTCTAATCGCTTCGTTGCCTTCCTCAACGATATGACGACTTTGTTTCATATCTAGGTTGTCTTTTTGTTGTTAAAAGGTACTAATGAAACAGAAAAGACAATTGATTGAAATTGCGTTATCTTGTATATCCATCCATCGCACAAGCAAAAATCTTGAAGGGTGCGTGCCATGGGGTCTCCTGCAAAATCAGAAGCTCAGAGCTTCCGGCACATGGCCAGTCTATTATCAACAAAGGGCCACCATGTAGACAGCCGCAGAAGGAATACAAAGCTGGCAGGAGTTAAATTATTGAGAATCCAAGGCCAGGGATCTATGGCTTTTATAGCAGAAAAAAGAAGAAGAAGCAAATTACAAGAACTGCACGTCGAATAAGCAGCAAATTACAGTAAATGAAGACGATGACAAATTTCACTGTATCTATTACCATTTCCTTGCTCAAGTTACTGAGCAAGAAGATGTGAGTAAAATGATAAAATCACCGGCCTCTAATTTGACTGTGGGACCATGGCTGCATGTATCCATGCAATCAGTATCTATTACCATTTCCTTACTCAAGTTACAGCATGAAGATGATGGTAGTGTCCTTTTGAGCCCTGCATGTACTGAGCACGAACACTGAAAGTTACTGTGTCAAGGAGTGCCTCGACGAAACCACACTCATAGCCAGCAGCGAAGCTAGGACATTAGGATTGCGGGGCAAATTATAAGAAAAAACTTTTACAAGGGCTAAAAATCAAAGTTTATTAATATTAGAGCTTAAATTTACAATTATTCAAGGGAAACAGGCGAAATAAATTTGCAGGGGCCTGCCAGCCACCCCCTGCCATCACCTCTACTCATAGCAGTCTATATCTATATAGACTGTTTTCACACATGAAATAATTACAATGTTTTTGTGTGATCTAAACTTTGAATAACTTTTCAAGCAAAGATATTTTCAAATAGGCAGCCATGATATTTGAATCTATGATTTCATAACCAATGGTCGATGCAAATAAAATGCAATAAAAAAAAAACCTTTCTAAAATAAATCTAAAAAATTCTTTTAAAATACACTTAATAAAATCATTTTTTTAACCCAAACTTGACATTTTAAACTCAAAATATAAATAAGAAGCCCACTAAAAATGAGACCGGTACACTAATCTTAGCTCGATACCTAAAACATCTTAGTTTGACTGTTTTTTCGAGCCCAACTCTTTAAAATGCACAAACTTAAGTCAATTGCTTGCTTGTTGACCGTGGTGTCACACCCAATATTTTTATAGATCCGAGCTTCCACACCTAATCCCAACATGCTTAGGTTTGGGAGTGCGATCTCAAGTTCAATATGCTTGGGTCCAGGCAGCATGTCTTAATCTATTTCTCAATTTTAATGGGGTTAAGCCCAACACTCGTTAAGTATTTTTTTTCAAGACTTCATGCGGGTCCCTTAATATGTTATACTGATCAAATACATATTATTTTAAGTAAAATACAACTCAAAATATCACAGAGATTAAATTACATTCTAGCCCCTCCTCTTCACAAAAGGACAATATTTATGGCTATAAATACACTATGAATTCTTAAAGTCAAAGGTTTACAATCTCTTCATTATTTACCGCATATATATATTCAAAGTATCTTTTTCTAAAATATTATTGCATTATCTTTCTCTACAAGGTTACTAACATCACCCACTACTAGTTACCAATCCTTTAAATTTTGCATATCAAGCTACCAAATACCTTAACTATAAAGAATGAAACAAATTACTTGAACTAAGAGATCAATCAATTATTCAATACATTAACTTTATTCCTAAATATTTTGAATTTTAGGGCTTATTAATATTGATGAAGTGTTAAATCAGAAGTATTTATAGAATAAGGTTTTTTAATAGTTAAATCATAGATTGATTAAGTGTCTGTGTAAATAGCTCATTTCTCTAATATTAAGGTAAACTTTCTTGATAAATATATCTAGATACTTGTAAAAAGTTCCTTTCTAAAGTGTTTAAGGACTATCCAATAATAAAGTTAACAACCTAATAGAGAAAATAAGTGATAAATACATTTAAAGAGCTTTAAATTCTAAGATTTTGGTTGTT